CCTGCGGTCGCCCACGCAGCCCCTGCACCGCCCCCCCGCCCCCCCACTCCCCTTCTCCTCCGTCCCCCTGCTGATCGTACAGCAGGGGGGGGGAGGGTATGGGGGTGGCGGGGGTGGCGAATGACGGGTTCCTGCCCGTCGCGCGCCCTGCTGTTGCCCGAGCAGCTTCTACACCGTCCCAGCCCCCCCCCCCCCCCCCCCCCCCCCCCTCTCCTCCATCCCCCTGCTGCGGGTGCAGCAGTGGGAGGAGGGTATCTGAGTGCCCCTTGCACCCCCCTCGTGAGTGCCCCTCGCACCCCCTCGTGGGTGCCCCTCGCACCCCCTCGTGAGTGCCCCTTGCACCCCCTTGTGAGTGCCTCTTGCACCCCCTCGTGAGTGCCCCTCGCACCCCCTCGTGGGTGCCCCTCGCACCCCCTCGTGAGTGCCCCTTGCACCCCCTCATGGGTGCCCCTCGCAACCCCTCGTGAGTGCCTCTTGCACCCCCTCGTGAGTGCCCCTCGCACCCCCTCGTGGGTGCCCCTCGCACCCCCTCGTGAGTGCCCTATGCACCCCCTCGTGAGTGCCTCTTGCACCCCCTCGTGAGTGCCCCTCGCACCCCCTCGTGGGTGCCCCTCGCACCCCCTCATGAGTGTCCCTTGCACCCCCTCGTGAGTGCCCCTTGCACCCCCTCGTGGGTGCCCCTCGCACCCCCTCGTAAGTGCCCCTTGCACCCCCTCGTGAGTGCCTCTTGCACCCCCTCGTGAGTGCCCCTTGCACCCCCTCGTGGGTGCCCCTCGCACCCCCTCGTGAGTGCCCTTTGCACCCCCTCGTGAGTGCCTCTTGCACCCCCTCGTGAGTGCCCCTCGCACCCCCTCGTAGGTGCCCCTCGCACCCCCTCGTGAGTGCCCCTTGCACCCCCTCGTGAGTGCCCCTCGCACCCCCTCGTGGGTGCCTCTTGCACCCCCTCGTGAGTGCCCCTCGCACCCCCTCGTAAGTGCCCCTCGCACCCCCTCGTGAGTGCCCCTCGCACCCCCTCGTGAGTGCCCCTTGCACCCCTTCGTGGGTGCCCCTCGCACCCCTTCGTGGGTGCCCCTGGCACCCCCTTGTGAGTGCCTCTCGCACCCCCTTGTGAGTGCCCCTCGCACCCCCTCGTGAGTGCCCCTTGCACTCCCCTCGTGAGTGCCCCTTGCACCCCCTCGTGAGTGCCCCTTGCACCCCCTCGTGAGTGCCCCCCGCACCCCTTCGTGAGTGCCCCTTGCACCCCCTCGTGAGTGCCCTCCGCCCCCCCCCCCACCTTCTCATCCATCCCCCTGCTGCGGGTGCAGCAGTGGGGGGGGGGGGGGGGTATGGGGGTGGCGGGATCTTTGGGGGTATGGGGGTGGCGGGATCTTGGAGGGTATGGGGTTGGCGGGTATGAGGAGCCAGCAGCCGCCCCTCCTCCTCTCTCTCTCACGGCCGCGCGTGCCACTGTGGGGGGAGGGTGAGACGGTGGTTTGTTGACTTTTTTGCTCGTCTGCCGTAGCCTTGCTCTGCTTGTACTCGCACCTATATATCTTATGTAACCTCTTGGACTGGCCTTGTGGCCGCTTGCTAGTGCTCAAAGTGCGTGGTGATCTTGAGATCCACCCTGAGCTTTGCTTTGATTTGCTTATTCTTGTGACTGGTCTTATGACCATTGCTTGCCATGGCTATCCCCCACTTCGCCTATGGGGGTGTGTCAAAACATATGTGCTTATGATTACTTAGGCTGTAGTGGGTTTAGCCTTAGGGGGTACAAGATTACTCTCGACATCATACTTGTACTCCCCTCATGACCTAATGCAATCATTCCTTCCTACTAAGCTACCTATCTCAACAGTGAAGAGCGGCGAAGTTGGGATGGTCAAGTCTATGATGCAAGAGCACAGCAGGGTGGGAGAGGTCATTAGAGGAGGAGGGGGATAGAGTGGGGGAGGAGGAAGGAGGAGGGGAGGTGGATACCTCAGGGGGGAGAGGAGGGGGACTGGTCAAAGTGCCAGCATGGTAATAACCTGACAGAAAGAGGGACAAGGGGTGCGAAGTGTGTAAAGTCGAGTGTGAGGACAAAGGGGAACGCGCAAGAGAAAGCGACCAGAGGTAGTATGGAAGAGATCGCAGTAGGAGGCAAGGCCAGGGTAAGTGGCGGTAATACCAGCGCGTTGCAGCTCGCGGTGGGAGAGGAGGTTGATGCGAAGGGTGGGAACGTGGAGACTAGTGACTGTACCGGAAGGGAAAACGATGCAAGGGAGAGTGGAGAGGTGAGTGCAGGGGATGGAGAAACTGGTGTCGGCAGCATGAACCTGAGTGGGAAGAGGAAGGGGGGTGAGGGTATCAACTTCCTTGAGTGCAGTTTCCGTGGCCCCACAGTCGAGGACAAAGTCCAGGGTGGGGGAGGAAGGAGGGAGAGGTGACACGGAGTACTGGAACAGAGTCTCGTTAATAGCAGAGGGATACATGGAAGCGACAGCAATATGACCAAGGAAACTACCCTGGGTGTCAGGGGTAGCAGGAACACTAGGGGGGGGGGGGGGGGGGGGGGGGGGGGGGGGGCAAAGGGGAAGGGGGCCCAGGGGGAGGGGGCAGGGGAGGCATCGCTGTGCCAAAGTTCAGCTGCTGCTGCTGCCAGGCGGCGGCTCCAGCGGCAGCGGCCGCGGCCTGAGAGCTAGCACCCCACAGCGGCGGCGGCGGCGGCTGCTGCTGCTGCTGCTGGAGGTACTTTTGCTGCTGCTGTTGCTGCTGAAACTGCTGCAGCTTGGAAGGGGGGAAGGGGGTGAGGAGGCGGAGGTGAGCAGGAAGGAAGGAGGGGTGCCAGTGTTACATCAATCAAAGCAGTCGTCATCGAACGCCTTGAAGCATGTGGCTGCGGGGTGATTGGTTTGGCCACGAGGTGTTCCTGCGCGAAGACCATGGCAGCAAACATAAGGGCAGGGGGGGGGGAGTGCCTGGGTGACCCCCACGGCCCTAGAGGACGGACCATCAAAGCCAGCACCACCCGCACCAGCGGGTCCTCCGGTCGCATCACCACTGGCGCACCACCATCACCTCTAGTATGGCTTCCACAACCACCACCTCCGCCACCGCCTCCACCGCGACGGCCGCCACCACCACCCCCGCCCCCACCACCACTACCACCTCCGCCGTTGCGACCGCCCTATCTACGCGGCTCCGTGGCGTTGAGGAAGGAGGAGGAGGAGGACTGAGAGGTGGTGAGGTTGACGACAGGAGTGCAGAGCTTTACCTCGGTGTTGATGATCCCACTGTTCCACTGGGCCAAGGTCAGCCATGGGGTTGGCTTTGGTGAAGGCGTGGAGGTGGGACTCGTAGTCCGGGGTGAGGTTGAAGAGCAGACGGTAGATCTGCAGAGGCTCAGAGAGGCAAGCCTGACGAGCCTGGAGGCGATCAGCGACCACCTGCATGTGCCCCACGAAGTCAACCGCGCCGTCATAGGTGGCAAGGGTGATGGAGGAATATTCCTGGAAGAGGACACAGACGGAGCCGATGTCGCGTCGCTCAACCAAGTACGCTGACACCCTCGCAACCAAGTTCAGCATCAACCCGGCATCCCTCTTAACTCCCTCTCGCACCCCCCTAACCCCACACACACCCGACACCAGCCTACTCAACCCAGCTGCACACCACCTTTACCAACAGCAGCTTGGGTGTCTTCTTTCCGCTGCTGTAACCTACATGCTCGATCGCTCCTATATTGCAAGCCAGCTCGCTCAGTACTTAAAGCGACCTGAAGGGGAGAACATGTTGGACCTTCAGCGGGCCCTGCAATAATTCATATCCACGCCTCACATTGGCCTCACCTACTCCACAATCACGACCCGCACATTCAGTCTCGTGGGCTACGTGGACGTCGATCATGCAGCAGACCCGGCCATGCCCTATTATTGGTTTTAGGTTGTCTGACCTATCAGACTCGAACATCTCGGCAGTCATGAATCTCAGACTTGGGATTCTTCTTCCTTCTGATTTTCAGACCAACACAAATAAATGTCTGAACCATCAAAATGTTGAAATAAATGTTTGATTTAAACTAAGGCCTATTCACAACACTCACAAAACTTCACATTTGGCTGTTTCACTACCAAAATAACACCGCGCCAGCATCCTGAAGGTTAGGTGCGGTTAAGGCTTACACATGGACTGAACGCTGATTGCACGACAGGGCAATTTTTTACAAGGAGATTTCAACGCGATAGTGGTCTAACAGTTCAGACAAACGAATCCCAACTTGTCTCAAAATCAGAGTTGCTGATATTATTTTGTATGTAATCCAGACACGAAAAATCGGGAAGTCTGAAAATTCATACAGAGGCCTAAAAATAGGTTTGTGTATCAGAAAATTGGACCATTTTGGTATGAAATCATAGGCCCTGGACCCGGCCAATTGACGGTCACGAACCGATCTCCTGTTTTGCCTCGAGCTCACCGGACCAATTTCCTGGAATTTCCAGAAGCAAGAAATGGTGGCGCTCTCCTTGGCCGAAGCCGAATTCATTGCTGCCACACCAGCAGTTCGCAAAGGACTCTACCTCAAAGAACTGAAAAAAATTGCGACATCCCTGATTTTCAAACTTCACTGCGATAACCAGAGTGCGATCAAAATCGCGAACAAGCTCGGCTTCGTCAATCGCACCAAGCGCATCGCACTTTGGTACATTTTTGTGAAATTGATGAAGGCAAGGTTGCCTTTACCTATTGCCCTACTGGTGACATGGCAGCAGACTTTCTCACCAAGAAGTTGCGACGTCAGCAGTACCACCACTGCAAAAGCATCTCAAGCGCGTTGAAGCACCATTAGTCTTCCAAGACTGAGATTTCAGACGAACTGAAACTTGAATTCTGAGAAATCTGACGAAACGAAAATTGGGGTTTGAAAACTAATGTTATTTGGGTTCAAATATGATTGATATCATGTGTTGTTGTTTAGACAACAATCCAAATAAAAATTATTTGGCTTCAAAAAACTTCACTACAATTGTCTTGAACTCCACTCATCGTGATGACTCGCTAGAACTTGCATCCTCCTCTTCATTAGACTCATCATCATCATCATCATCATCATCATCATCATCATCATCATCATCATCATCATCATCATCATCATCATCATCATCCTCATCATCCTCATCATCATCATCATCATCATCATCATCATCATCATCATCATCATCATCATCATCATCATCATCATCCAAGACAACAGCTTTGCCTTTCCCCTTGGTGTTCCACACAAAGGGGTTCCTCCCGCCTACAGTTGCTCCCCCACCTTGGGCTGCCTATGCTGCTGCTTCCTTCTCTACATCCCGTGCAGCCTTTGACGCCAAGGCTGCTTCTGCTGCTTGACGTTATGAAGTTGGCTTACTGCGTTTGCATGCCCGGTGAGCCGGTGCCATCACTACCTTCTTCGACGGCCTCCTCTTCTTGCTCCCCCGCCACTTGGCCACCAGCTCGTCCCAATCTGGCTCGTACTCCAACAGGGAGACACACATGATCTCCCCCAGCGACACATCACACAGATTGTCGCGCAACCAGCTCTTAATGACGTTCCGTCGACTGAATTTGCGCTCGCACTGAACTGTGCTGAGCGCCAACACGGCCACCGCAATCCAGAGTCGAACCGGATTGGGGAATGCAGTCATCTAGTCCCCCGTCGAGAGCATGTGTTGCAGGCTTTTGTGGAAGGAGAGGTCTTCATGATGGGTGGCAAGGATGGTGGTGAAGCTGACCAGTCCTTCTTAGCCTTGCCCCAATGGATGCTTGAGGTCGGGGCGATGATAGTAGCAGGGAGTGGGTAAGAGGGGGGGGCTGGGTGGGGGGTGGGGAGGGGAGGAGGGTGGTAGGAAGAGGGGAAATAGTGTTTCTAGACCATGCTACAACGTGGTCATTATACTATAACCATCAACATCACAACTAGAAGCGCAACCATGTACCAATCACCTGTGATTGTATCCTCCTCTTCTGTCTTGCGTTTGAAAAGATATCGCAAATACTGCAGCCTCTGAAGACTCTTACGCTCCCATTTTGCACGCGACTGAGGATAAACTGCCTGTCGGAAGAGTCTGCTTTCTTTGAGAGAACCAAGATCTTGAAGTCGGAAATCAAGGTTGAAGATGAGCTTCGCCACAAACTCCGATGCCAGTTAGGCGCACAACGGTGCATCCGCGCCACTACTCTGCCCGCCGAGCTGAGTCTCATGCAACTCAAATGTGTGCGTCATCGGTGTTCTGTCGCCGTCAGTTCCTTCAACCGTGACCGTGCGTGTGTGGAGGCTCTCATGTTTGTGCAAGAACTTGGCAAGGTAACCGTTGTTACCACCGAACGTGTTACCAAAGTCGACATATCGAGTGCGTAGGATCAGCGTTGTTGTGTCCACCATCTGCAGCACCAGCGTGCAGTCCATCTGCGGCCAAAACATGAACTATCGCAGCATGATTAGTACCCTGTATGTGTAAGCACACATTCGCAAGAGGTCAGCGTAATTTCGTGTGCTCGACTAGCGACATTGGAACTTCAGGTTGAGCTGCTGTTCCTTCAAGACATCAGCAAGGAAAGACAGCATGAAGTAAAACTTAAAATTGGTCATTGTGTTATAAGCTTTCCGATCATACTCGTGCGGCATCACGATGGCAGCAGGGAACACATCGACAGTGCGTTGGATGGCGTCGCCGCAAGATAGTCATCTGATGATGTGTATCCCTTGCATCTCCAGATTGGTGCTGCACACGATTTCTTGAAGCTCTTGGATTTGGGCGTGAACGACAATCGAGCGACCAAGAATCTCCTCCAGAGACCGCACCACCTTATCGACGATGTTGACGTACGGGAACTCATTGCCGAATCCTTCGCAGTCAGGGCTTCCCTGCACTTGCACAAGCAACAAAGCTAATCACACGTAATAGAACGGCATTGACTTACCAAACCGGAACAAGTTACCTGTGAGCGAGATGAAGAATCTTTGATCGCAGGCACGTCACCAGAACAGCCTGACCACCAATCATTACATTCACTCCATTGGTGCTGATGCCGGCTATCTTCATCATGTCCACGCCCCGCGAGTCCAGATGGGTCAATAGCACTTCCTCCAATGATGCAGCATCACCATTCTTCAGTAAGGTTAGCGAAAATATCAGTGACGACAGATCCATCGCGGATGAAGGATATGTAGATAATCATGTGTTTGTTGCGCCATCTATCCGTGGGGCTGTCCATGATATGTCGCATTTGCTTCGCCCTGAGCTAGGTGACTATCGTATCAATTAGCTGCTCGAATCCATACATGCCATTAAAAAAAATCATTCTAGGTAGTGAGATCATGGCGACACAAATAACCCAACAAAATACACGACACTCACGTGCTGCAGTAAGTACCGACACCCTTCAATGGCAAATCCGGAGTCCCTTGTTCAGCCATTAACTAGGCGACGGAAACAAAGAGGGCAATGGGGGCGTCAGACTTGCAAATGTAAAGCATGATGGCCATCAAACGCTTGATACGATGCGCATCCTCCTCGCCGCTCTCGAAGTCTGCAATAGACTTTTGCATCCTTCCGGCTCCCTCGCGTTGATCCTTTCGGGCATGTGCCGCACCGTGCTTGATGCTGTGGTGTTTCCTCATTGTCTGCTTCTAAATGTCGACACCGCCTTCACTGTTGTGACCGTACTGGTAATCACGTTCGCCGAATGCCATTCAAATGGATCTCTTCATGCAAGGCCGCCCGTTGAACATCTCTGATACGATCAGCTATGGGAAGTGACGCTGCCACTGCTCTTTAGCCTTCAGTCGCAGCTCGTCTACTATCAAAAACTGCGGGTGGTCGTCATCCTCAGTAGCGGGTTTTGACGAGCCTGGGTGTCATCTTCGGCGCTCGCTACAATCGTCTTCACGGGCCGTTGAGTAAACGAGAGCTTAAACTGTTTGTAGTTGGCATTGCCAGCAAAGCGGGGTGGGAGGAAAGGGAAGAGTTTCTTAGAACATGATGGTGGTTCAGGCAAGCTAGCAATGGCAACAAGGCTCGCTGCTATGGGTTTGATACATGAAGGGCAGGGCAAGGGCGAAACAACAGGCAAAAGAGGAGTCCCAAACTCATCACGGCTGTCTGGAAAGAGGAGCGGAGAATTCGGCCGATCGGTATTAACTGGCGCTACAGGAGGTGGTTCTACACTGGCCAGGTGATGAACTGCTTTGCCATTTCTACTATCACGTAAGCTAGCCCTACGTCCTAGGAAGTCTAGTCCTGTGAGTGGGAGCGATGGCCGTGAGCTATAGGAGGCGCCTCTGTACGTGACTCAGAATCCATATTGAAAGAACTGACAAAAATGATGATCAGAGATGGGTTGACTGTCTTTCTCATGGGGTGCATAGGTAGGAAGGATGCAGGTGAGTGAGACTATAGTCAAGCCCATGAGAGACAAGGAATCTTTCCTGTAGGAAAGGACATCACGCGGTCCGCTGTTGGCGCCGCGCATTTTTACCACTTCGCTGCCAACATCTGTTCGCCTTTCTGCCAGCGACGTGGCAGCATTCGACAGCCCATGTTGGTGAACCTACATGTTGGCAGCAGACACCATGGGTGTCACGCTGTAGAAATTATTGCGCGTGCAAATGTGGATTCGGAAATCTTCAAGTGCAGTGGGGCAGTGGCCCAGTGGGCGAGCTTGTCGGAATCAGACGAAAAAAAATATCGTTGTCTGGGAAATAAGACCAAAATCCACACCAAGTCTGAGAAATTACATGACATTTGTTACAGGGGGTTTTACTGTTCACTCTGAACAGTACTTCCCAACCTTATCATCATCTTATTTTCTTGGATTTCTTAGTGCCACGTGGCACTCTAGTTCCTTGCCTTCTACTTTCTAGTCCCACGAAGTACTTTCCAACTATCACTCTTGCATGCTATGTATTGCTTGCTTGTTTTCACCAATATAATCCGATTCTCATTCAACTAATACTCAGTTACTTCTTCGCATATTTCGCTAAGACTTCCTTCGCCAAAGTCTTCCGCCGTGCTTCATCCTCAATTTAGTCAACCCCCCTATTCTTTAGCGGATTTAGGCCAAGAGGCCTAACACTTGGTATCAAGAGCCTTCGCAGGGAGCGACTTCCGATGAGCGACCGTCGACGACGAGACACGACGTCATCGTCCCGCGGTGCCGACTTGCAGACTTAGAGTCGTCGATCCGACATGGATGAAATCATGACCGCTCTCCCCAACAACATGGGCAACACGCTTGCTCAACTCATGCGCCAACTCGAAACGTTGACACTGGAAAATCGTCAGGTGCGGGCTGAAATGCAACAGCTTCGTGAATTCGCATCTAGTCCTCTTGGTCATGCCGCACCATCTCCTGCACCCAACACGTTGACTGGCGCAGAAGCGCTGCCAGAACGTCGAAGCGCGCTCAAGCTGCAGAAGCCCGAGCCGTTCGACCCAAGTCAACGCGACGCGAACGTGCGGACGTGGATCTTCATGCTAAACAACTACTTCGCCGCGAGCGGGGTGCAAGAGGCAGACGCGCAGCAGTGGATCGGGTACTCCGTTACGCTGCTGAGGGGCCCGGCCTTGGAGTGGTGGCGCCAACTCACGCAAACTGTTGTAAGAAGGGCTCATTTGGATGGGCATCAACAGGGCGAGGGGCATGCATCTGCAACTTCGAGCTTAGGGAGTTAACTTTGGGTGTTACAACGGTTCCGGCGCTGAAAAGAAGATTCGATTCGGTGAATGCCTCTGATCTGCGTCATTTCTGACAGATAGGAAACGTCCAGGAGTACACACGATGGTTCTTGAGCATCTACAACGAGATCGACGATATCACGGAAGCATAGATGCGCGATCGCTACCTCGAAGGGTTGAAGCCGGACATAGCGGAGATCATAGCAATTCACGGGTTGTCCACCTTTGAGTCGGTAGTCGCAGCAGCAGAACGCGTCGACGCAATACGAAGCCGACGGGGTCGTGACGATCGCGATATGGGATACAACAACCCGATCAACGACGCTCGATCGAGGGACGGACCGTCGCCGATGGAGATTGGTGCAGTTAACAGTGACAGCAAAAAAGAAACGGGGTTTAGGGGGAACTGTTACTACTGCAAAAATCCGGGACACATGAAGCGGGACTGTCCACAGCTTAAGGAGCGGCAGCAGGGAAATGGAAACCGCCAGTAGATAGCGGGTCGCTAGCTGGTGTGAGCGCTTCCAAACCCGCCAAGTCTACCAACATAGATGAGACAGCCTTAGAGTAGTCATCTACGCCAAACGAGGTAGACACTGTTGATCGTCCAGTCGTGCTTCTAGGGAAGTTTCGCGGTATTCCAGTCAAGATTCTCGTCGATAGCGGAGCTAGCCACTCATTCCTCTCTTCATCGCTAGTTAGTCGTCTCTATCTCGAAGCAGATTTGGCAGTCAACTTTAAGGACGCTCGCATGGTAGATAGGACGCCACTTCACATAGGACCAGTCATTTGCAAGTTGCGCGTAGTACTAGGACCGGTCACGGTTAGGCGTGACTTCGACTCTGCGACGCTGGACGATTACGATTCCATCTTTGGGAGGGATTGGCTACGAACGGCTAGTACTAAGTTCGATTGGGCTTAGGGAAGCTGTTGTGTCAAGGTAGATGATGAGTTCAGGGATCTGCCACCGTGGATCGATGGGGCCACATCATCCACAGCTGTCATGAATGATGTTCGTGTGCGGCAGCTGGTGAAGCGTGCGGCACGGATCTTCGCGGTTTTCCTTGAGGAGGTGGAAGCTGAGGAGGGGAAAGGAGGGAGTGCAGCAGTTGGTGAGAAGGTGACTCTTCCTGCGGAGGTGAGTGCACTGTTAGCAGAGTTCGCAGACGTCTTCCCTGACGAGTTGCCCCCAGGGTTACCTCCTAGCCGAGCAGTCGACCATCGAATAGAGTTGGAGCTAGGGAGCAGGCCAAAAGCGAAGCCACAGTGGAGGTTAAGTCAGAAGAGACAAAGGAGATGACACAGCAGGTTAGGCACTTCCTAGCGCAGGGGTTCATACAACCATCTAGATCGCCTTGGGCAGCACCGATCCTATTCGCGCCTAAGAAAGACGGAGGGTTACGGATGTGCATAGATTACCGCGCACGGAACGCCGCCACCGTCAAGAATGGGTTCCCGGTCCCGAGAGAAGAGGATCTTCTGGATGCAGTGCAGGGAGCTAGAGTTATCTCCAAGATTGACCTTTGCTCAGGATATCACCAGATTCGAGTAGTTCCAGAGGATTGGGACAAGACAGCATTTTGTACGAAACAGGGGTTGTACAAGTTTAGGGTTCTACCGTTCGGTTTGACCAACGCCCCAGCAACGTTTCAAAAGCTCATGAATACCGTCCTCTCCGAGTTCCTAGGTTCGTTTGTCAGTAGTTTACCTAGACGACATCCTCATCTTCTCCAAGACGAAAGAGGAGCACGTGCAGCACTTGCACAAGTCTTCAAGGTCTTGTGGAGGGAACAATTGTACACTAAGCAGTCGAAGTGCGAGTTCTTCCTCCCCGAAGTCGAGTTTCTAGGTCACGTCGTATCTGCTAGTGGCATTTGGAATGACCCGGAAAATATCACTGCAGTACAGGACT